AAAAAAAAAAAAGATTTATAGCTTTGGAAACATTATGGGGCAGTTCTCCTCTGTCCTATAGGGTCACTATGAGTCAGGATTAACTTTACAGCAGTGAGTTTGTTTGTTTGAGTTTAAAACATGGAAAAAGGAAGAAAGCTTCCAAATTCTTTTCACAAAGCTAACATAACATTGATTCTAAAATCTGACAATGGGAAAGCCATCCCCAAACTCCTCAGTAGTAATTAGTACTTACAGGAAAGTCATTTAGTCATCCTGGTTTAAGGGTACAGTCCTCCTAAATTTGGCATTTCTTATTCTCCAATTTAAGTGAAGTAATATAAGATATTTATTCAAAGATCACCGAGAGTCAAGCAAAGCTTCTCAGTACAGTGAGGGGAAGAAGGATGTAATGTAATTGAGGATGCCAGACATTGGTCTGATTATTGACCCACCTCTTACTAATTCCTGTTTATGAAATAGGAAGTGAATGCACGTGAGGTGGTTGAGGATTCAGTGAAAGAGCCTGTGCTAAATAAATACTAGTTTCTCCTCTCCCTTGCCATTGGTCTAAATTATAAGATTAAATGCAATTTCTAGTTTCCCTGAGGGACTGAAGCTATAGAAGCTTGGAAAGATGTGTGTGGAGCAAGTTGCTTGTGGGGGCTAGAAGGGGAGGGAGCATTTAACTTTCCAGGGAGTTGGGTCAAGGTAAGTCCATCTCTGAGAGGTAATGGTAAGTGACAATGGATGACAGATTCTGCCAAGAGATCTGCAGAGCAGGGAGAGTGACTCATTTCCCAGTGAGAAAGGAGTTTATTGACTAATACTTATTTACATTACAGGCTCATCGGGGAAAAGACTGGAAATGTCGCAAGAGGAATAAATATTGCCATTGTCAACTGTAAGTCATGAAACGTTTTCTTTAAAGTGTCCTTTAAAAAACAAAAAGGCTTTAAAAAACTTTATAAAACAAAAAGGAACAGGCAGAGGACAGAGTTTAAACCAAATAAGCAGTCCATAGGGACATAATTCCTGGAGTTGAGCCTGGGAAAAAAAAGAATTCTATCATGATTGCCATTGGGGTCCTGATCATAAGTGTCATAGCATGTTTGGGAAGACAGTTTCATATGGCATTCCCTTGAGTGAGCTAAGAAGATACTCTAGTGACAGCAGAGACGCAAGACAAAAAGTTCCTAGTCTGATAATCCACTGGGAGAACCTAAAATACAAAAAGGAAAGAGGCATCCAAGTGTCCATCAGGCCTTCTTCTGAAAGGGCAGTTCATTTCCACCAGGCTTTGTTCTAAGGAAAGCAGCAAACTATTGCAAGTTATATTTCCAGACAAGAACCTGGAGGGTGGAGAATCAACTTTAATGATTAGAATTGCCTTCAGTCTGGACTGCACTGCTTCTAGACTATACTTTGCTTCTAGAGAATGTACAGTCCATAGAGGGCTGCAACATTTCTGTCCAGGTCTCGTAACAACATTGAGGGCATTGGTGGTTCAGTAATAGAATCCTCGCCTTCCATGCAGAACACCCAACTTCTCCTGGCCTTTCTTCCTAGTGTAGCTTAATCTGGAAGCTCAGCTGAAACCTATTCAGCAACATCACAACACACAAGCCTACACTGACAGACAATTGGTGGCTGTGCTTGGGGTTCATTGGCCAGGAAAGTTGGGTCTTCTGCATGGAAGGTTAGGATTCTATCACTGAACCACCAATACCCTCAATGTTTTTATGAGACCTAGACAGAAGTGTTACAGCCCTCCACAGAAAGCCACACAGGGATGTGTTGGGCTGCTTTTTTGGGAAGGCTTGACAGTAGTTCCCTAGTCCTCTTCAGACCCAATTCTGAATCCCTGTTCTTGGGTGAACATCCCATTTCTCTTTTACAGACAACACTGTTCCTTCACCCTCCTGTGTACATGTACGCATGTAGGCATACCAGTCAGGCATGCTTCATGGTGAGCGGCTCCAGACTGTCCCAAATTTTTGGAGCAAGCCCATCTGCAGATATGCCCCTTGGACTCCCACCCTTCCTCCAGGGCAGGGCAGGGTCTGTCAGACTCAGTTCTAGTCCTATCTCCCCCAGCAGGCTTCCCACTGGAAATATCCCAGAAGCCTCCACTAAGGCCAGGGTCAGATTACCCAATAAGCAAGGTAAGCATGGGCTTACTTGTGCTTACTTACTAATCTGTAGTGAACAGTTTGACATGTTTTTTTAGCACATCTTTAATCTGTTCACTACAGATTAATAAGTAAACACAAGTAAGCCCATGCTTACCTTACTTACTGAGTATTCCACCCCTGTCAGGGATTGTAAATTTGAAAAAAGGCTTTGATTCTGTAGGAAGGTATCGTGGGGTTGAGAGAGAAACAGATGCCTGACATACTTAGAAGCAGAATCTTTGATGTGGTGAAAAAAAAAAAAAAGAAAAGAAATTGTTCACTACACATTAGTATGTAAGCACAAGCAAACCTGTGCTTAGCTTGCTTATTGGGTAATCCAACACTGATTAAGACCAGCCACTATCAGGGCCCCTGTGGGAGGGGCTGGCCAAGGTGAGGGCTCTGGTGTTTCTTTGGGAAGAAAGAGGTAGGTAAGGGAAGAGTGTAAAGGTCAAATTTAACTAAAATCAGACTGGAAGAAAGTTCTAGAACATCTGACTGGCACCTCCGTCTTTTTAACCCCACTTTAATAACACTTCCCAGAGGAGGTCCCTCTTTCAGGTGGACTACTCCTACCCACCATGTCTCCTGAGGAGAGATGGAGAAGAAAGATACATTTTGATGGCTGAGGTAACAAAAATGGCCCCACAGCTCAGATGAACTTCCTTTTTAAAAATTGCTTTGTTTTGTTTTTTCAGATGTAACTGGGAAAGTGACAGAAACACGATTCTTTGATATGTATGAAGGTGGTAAGAAATTATTTTCCTGTTCAAATAAAAATGCTTTAAAAACATAAATTTAAGATTGAAAACATGAACAAATATGTCAAACTTTCTTATCTTTATTATACTAAAAAAAAAAAAAAACTAGCAGTGTAAGTGAGTTTTCTATCATGGGCTCATAAAAGTCTTCCTACGTTCTCATTGAGTTCATACAGTAAAGTGTGACGGCAACATCTAGAACACTTCTCTTTGATCACACTTCTTCTGTATTTCCCTTTCTATGCCATCACCCAAAAACATGGAAGCAAAGACCTCTTTTCTTTTTTTAACCAAAGTATATGTAAAATAAGGAGCTCTGGTGGTGGGGTACATAAGACATTGGACTGCTAACCAGACGGTTGGTGGTTCAAACCCACCAGCCACTCCATAGAAGGAAGATGGGCAATCTACTTCTGTAAAGATTTACCACCTTGGAAACCCAAAGGGGATCCTATAGTCAGGATTGACTTGATGGTAGTGAGTTTGGTTTGGTTTATATGTAAAATAATGTCATAATGTCATCAGCATCCAGCCTGAAAATCATCAGCCCTGAAAAAGCCACCATAGTTACTGCTCTGCTCCCAGGGCCCAGCTGGGATGGGGGCAGACATTTCTAGAGCGACTAGGCGCCCATTCTCCCTCCATGGTTTTGCCATTCTTGATATTGAATGATGGCTGCAGTTGTTAGTAAGAACAGAGCAGCCCCTCTTGTTTGTACTGAACACTTAGAGTTATTGAAACCAGTCTTTAAAAAGATCGTGGAGAACAGTAATAGCAGATGGACAGAGCTGCCCAGTCCTCTGCCATCCCATGATCAGTTGGAGACTGGACCATTGTGATCCACTGGATTTTCATAGGATGATTTTCAGAAGTAAATCACCAGGCTTTTCTTCTTAGTCTTAGACTGGAAGCTCTGCTGAAACCTGTTCAGCATTATAGGCTCCTCTGACAGACAAGCTGCTCATTAGGTAAATTGGTTGGGAATTGAACCTGGGTCTCATGCATTGAAAATGAATATTCTACCAATGAACCACCAAGACCTTACTTAATACTTAAAAAACCACTATCAAATCCACTGCCATTGAGTTGATTTTGAATCACACCAATCCTACAGGGCAGAGTAGAACTGCCCCAGAGGGTTTCCAAGGCTGTAAATCTTTACAGAAGCAGACTGCCTCATCTTTCCCCCACAGAGAAACTAATGGCTTAGCAGCTGAATGCTTTAACCACTGCATCACCAGAGCTCCTTATTTAATACTTGTGTTGTTGTTGTTGTTGTTATGTGCCATCGAGTCGGACCCGACTCATAGCAACCCCTCCTTGGGTTTCTGAGGCAGTATCACTACGG